ATATTTTCAAGGTATTTTTCAATATCTTGATCACAGATTTTTCTACTCTCATATCATGCATTATAAAAATCGACTAAAGCTTTCATAATATCTCCATTTTCCATAAAGACAATATCGTCGTCATTAGTAACTTTATTGATCGTATTGTCGCCCTGTTGCTTTTTTTCTAAATTTAAGAAATATGCAGTACTTTTTTCGCCCTTTTCCATCCAGATAGCTCTTGATCTTATGTAAGCCCCTTTACATTTTTGTGCATATAATTCATCAATTTCATTTTCAAGCTGTCTTTTATATCTCATATTTATATGCGAGTAGGGTTTATTTTCCAATATTTTAATTTGATTCTCAATGAAATCAATTCGCTTTCTTTTGGATACAGCATTTTCTTTAGAATAGGCTATTGTGAAATTTTTAATTGATTTTTTCAAGCATTCCCATTTAGAAACCGGATCAGGATCATGAATTCTAGATATTTCTTGTTTAATAAAGTTTCTCATTTCATTGCAAAATTTTTCTTTGTTGAGAAGTGACGTATTCATTTTCCAATAACCACTCCCTCTAATATTTTCTGCGGTACAAAAATCAAAGTATAAACCTAAATGGTCACTAAATCTTGTCCCGTCATAATTAGGAGCTTTTCTTAATAAAATTTGATTAAATCTATAGCAGAAACTTTCTGACGTAAATACGTAGTCAATTCTAGATTTTGGATTATTTTCCCCATCACACCACGTGTACCCCTGTTCGTTATTTTTATCACTAAAGGACCAACAGTCGATCAAATTTAATGATTTCACAAAGTTTCTAAGAGCCTTTACATTTCTATTATTTTCGATGATATCTATCTGACAGTTAAAATCTCCACAAACTATTAAGTTATCCAAACTTTTAGCATATTTATTGACCCATTTCAACATTTTATTTAAAAATATAATTTTGTCATTTTCTTTATTTGGCACATAAAAATTGGCCAAACTTAAAATTTGTTCAGATAATTTAACATTTACCAATAATTTTCTACCGTCAATCGAAGAATGTTTATCTAGTATTTCGATATCAAGATTCTCTTTAAACAAAATAGATACACCTCTACTATATACTGAATCAGAAAAACTATGAATTTTATACCCAAACCAACGTGAATTATAAATTACTTCATTTGCTTCAATAAAATGTGTTTCTTGCAAGAAAATTATATCAAATTTTGCATCTTTCATCCATTCAAACAACAAAATCCTTTTACTATAAGTATTTAAACCACGAGCGTTTATAGAATAGAATGTTAGTAAGTTTGTACTCATTTACATAAAGCTATATTTGCTAAATTACCCCTGGTCCTTTACATTTCTCTTCCTGTTTGAGTTTCTCCTGGCCTCCCGAATGAAGCCGTCCAGATTTGTCTGATTTTCGTCTGGGTTCTTATTTTTCGGAAGTGAGGTATTTCTGAGTCTTTTTGTAAGTTTTGATGTTATCCTACCCAGAATCTGTCCTAGCCGGTTTTCGCCCGGCCATTTTTCCGGATTCGTATGGAGGGTAGCATCTGGATATAGCCCGGTTCCCCAGAATATATCGTTAGTTGCTTCGGCGAATAGTGTTTTAGCATCTGAATTTTCCAGTTTCTCGCGTAGTTCCGGTACCTGAGTAGCTTTAGCATGTATGATCTCCTCCATTACCGTTTCTTTTTGATCTTGCCACTTTTCTGGGATCTTCACTTTATCTCCTATTCTCTTAGCCTCAAGAGCTGTGGGAGCAACGCGGATGTTTTCGGTAGCGTTGAAGTCTCCAGATCGAATAGCTTTCGTAAGCTGGTAGGCGTGCTCAGCTGATTTGTGGGTTTCCCCGAAGACCTTAACATCACAGGGAAAGAAATTGGATAGGGGGTTTTCTTTTCCTTGAAACACCACTAATCCATCAGCAGGTTCGCTATAGTGCTCACAATCTTTTGATCCCGACTTATGTCCAGTTTGTTTGCATACACGACATGCGATTTCTTTTGTACAGTCTTTGGCCCTGTGTCCTGTGTCCCAACAATTGTAGCATTGCACCCGAGATTCACCCTTTTCCTGTCCATAATGATACAATCTACACTTGATATCTGCACATTTTACAAATCTGGGCAAGGATTTTCCTGATTCCATAGGCTTAATGTAAAGAAAACGGTTGCCGTTAAGCACGCTTGTCATGCGGTGTGTCGTAGGATGTCTGATTTTTTCGTACTTAATGTCACTTTTCAATTCTACTTGGAAGCTGTCAAGCATTTCCATAATAGCGCTGTCATCAACAGATAATGGCAAGCCGCTGATTGTGACCTTAAGAACTGGATCATTCGGGCTATTTGCCCCTGTAGTATAGGGATTTGAGTCATATACCTGTATAGAAAGGTTACGAAGCTCGAATCCTTCAATTGTCAATTTTGTCCTACTCTCTATACACTTAAGATACACACGCCAAAGGTCTCTATCTCGCTGAATACAGTGGATGTTATCTCCGATCTTATCGTGAATCGCCTCATAGAGATCAAAATCAGTAACCCTGTTATTCTGATCAGATTGAAGATCCTTGTTCTTCAGATAAATTGGCTTGAGCATTATGTTTGGAACGTCTGAAGTCATGATTGTTAACAAAAAGCTTACCCGAGAAGTTCTCACTCGTGAACTCCGCGACACGGTAAACAATTGTATACACACATACAAAATGCAAAATTTCACAATCACATCGGAAAATCGCATAGAAATTGGCTGAATTTGTTTATCAATACCTCTTATGTTGTTTAGTACACAAAATAAGGTTTTAAAATCCCACAAATAACTATAGAATTGTCAAAAACCGGAGCAGGTAAAAAGAGCGTCCATCTACCTGACCGTCACGTGACTTTCCCGAAAATTTCCACTCTTGAAAACCTTATGAGACTTTCCATTTCCAGCAAATCAGAGGAAATGGACTATGAGGAAGCCTTCCAAAAATGGAGCGCACCAAATCCAGGAGGATTTTCTCTGTGAACTTTCATTGACTGTGATATGGTGATGTGAAGTGAAACAAGTCTAATAGACTAGTGCTCCCAACATCTTTTAAGTGAATGACAGTGCTGTGACTTGTATGCTGGTGCTTGAAACTTTCATTATTGTTACTTTGATATGTGTAAATGTAGTGCTTTATTTATGATGTTATAAAATGCATACCACTGTATCTGTTACATGTATGATATCTGTTTAGTATATCTTGTTTAAATCCACAATAAAATATTATAAAACATGCAACTTGTTATTTTTTCAGGAAAATTGTGGTTGGATATTAATTAAGTGAAACACTGAGTCATGACTGAGATGACCACAAGTTTAAAATGAATGTTATAGTAGATATGATATGATATATGGCACATTTTTAAAAATGATTACAGTAATATATGAATGGCATGATCAATATGATGGGAATATTGTTCTAAAAAAGGTCGTGATACGCTCCACGCAAAAGTGGCGAAAAAGATTTTTAGTCCAGTGGGAGCCCTGTTAAATGATGATGATATACTAAAATACAGTTTTTGGAGATAACACTGAGAATATTTTTCCTTCCTATCAAGGTGTTCTTACAAAAACTTGTTGACCTGATATATTGAATGACCTGATATTTCTAGTGAAGACTTGATATTTTTATAAATGACTTCCAACGGAAGGTTTTGAATAACCTGATATCTTTTTATAAATTCTTTTTAGAAAAATTAAACATTTTAAATGGTTTTGAGACAAATCCTTTTGCCAGAATTTAAGAAAAGAATTGACCTAATGATCTGAAACGACCTGATGATTTCCTACTAAAGACCTGATATTTTTTAATGACCTGATATTTTTAAATGAAGTGATGGGTTTTAATGACCTGTTTATCCTTATAATATATTGTAAGGAAAATAAAACAGATTTATACATATGGTAAACTTTATTAAATTTGAACATTTGCAGCAATTCCATTCCATTTTAAAATACCTGGTCAGTAAAGTAAAAATATCAGGTCATTCAAAATTATCGGGTCATCAAGTTTTGTGAATATATCTTAATGCATAGCAAAAAAATGTATTTATTATCCAATAAAAGTGTATTTTAGTATTGTATTATCAACTATCATTAATACTTTTGCCCCAGAAATATGAAATATAATGTTTAAATTGATAATTTATATGATATATTTTTTCATCAGGTCAAATATCAGGTCTTTTGTACATCATTTGCAGGAATTATGAAAGCTATTTAGAATGTGACATATAATGAACGGTTGAACCGTTGAAATTATAGCTAGGTGCTGAATTGTTTGAAAAGCGTGGCAAATCAAAGATTAAAACTTAATTTTTCTGTTCTTTTTTAATATTTCTCAGTCTGAAGGCATCAAACACTCGATTCCAAAGAAACCTTTGGCATAATTTCACGACGAATAACTGCATAATCTTTCTTTTTTGCCATGCCATGATAATGCAGAACTGCATTAGCATTCCAACGTCACAATTATGGTCCATAGTTTTCTGTTTGTGTGAACATTATCATTCGACCTTCAGGTGGACCACACTCAACTATTTAAAATATAAATCTGAGTACAACAGATTGAATCCATTGAATTCCATTAATATGTCCCTATTGGTCAATAATCAATTGAAGGTTCACATTTTTTTTATGGAAACATCGCAATCATTTATTTTCGCATGATCAAAATAATCGAGATTTTAAGAGAAACGGTAGTTTGTTGGGATTTGGTTTCATGATTGAAGAACTGCTGAGCTATATTGTACACAAAATGAAGGACATGAATTTCACAATTTCTTGAAAACAACGAAAACGAACTCCCTTTAAAACTTTACAATTTTTCAGTATTGTTCGATCGTTACAAATATAAGCTCATTAAAAAATCATCTTTCCCGCAGTTTTACATCTTCATCAATGAAATCACTTTCAATTTTCCAGAATGCAAACCAACCCAATATCTTCCATTACTGTCCACACTCAAACCTCCCGGTGTATCTAATCCACAGTTATCCACACATTGTAGAAAATGCCATTTTGATCAAGAATGTGTAAACAATCATTCTTCTGATCCGTCACGATGACCTGACACATAGAATCAGTAGCTATTTGCTCTGGAGAGAAATATTTCTTCCCTCTTGCTCCATAACCATTGTAACGAAATCTGACTATCCCTGTTGCATCCACCACAACTACTTTCTTTGCATTTCCATCAGAGGCACAAATGTCCCCGTTTGTGTTTTCGGCCAAATAAAGTATGTAGCCTCCTCTTTGGAAAAGAGGGTTACCATCTAAATCTTTTCCTATTTCTTGTTTTACGACCTTTCCCTGAAACCGAACTATTTTTTGTTGCCTTTCATCCTCAGTGTTCATGCTGACAAGGATATCACCATTATTAGTGCAGCATAGTCCATATGCTCTCCAACCTCGAGGTGCTTTTATCAGGGTTTCTGTCATACCAGACTTGACAATGGCACTTTTCTTGGCAAAATCAGTAAATATCAGTTCTCCTTGTTGAGTTACCGACATGTCTGCTGGCTCCCCTGTAATTTTGATAGATTCCTTAACAGAGCCACTCAATATGTCAAAACGTAGAATAACTTTGCTTGTTCCAGCAATCCAAGCTTCATCAGATCCAATACAGGCTATTGCGTCAATACAGCTCAGTGGAGTTTGAATATCAGCAATAACGCAGAACTTGCCAAATGACGATATTGAAGTGTCACTGTTCGGACTGAGGGCTGTTGTCTGTGTTAATGTAGCTTTGTCTTCTCCCAGTTCTCTACTAAGTTCTTTCCCTTGATCTGTGGTTATTTTCAAGGTAAGAATTGCCACATCAATATCTACAGGAATATCTTGGTATCCATGAGGTTTTGATGTGTAGTTGACAACTTTGGAGACTGCATTGGACCTAAGAATGTCTTTGTTTTCTTGTATTGTTTGCAGCATTTTCTGGGCCATTCGATCTATTAGGCGCAAGGTTCGATAAGGGAAATTACCGCCTTTTCCTTCAGGGACTTGATCAAAGTTTTGTTTTTGTCGAAGATTTCGTCGACTTCCTGATGCCATAAACTTCTGGGGTTTTCCAATTCTCTTTCAAGCTTTTCGAATTTCGCACTTGTTTTCGGAATTCTATCCTTAATATTTGATTCACGGGCATCACTTTGCTGCTTACCTAAATCTAAAATCTTCTGAAGTTCGTCAGTATCTAGGTTTATTTTCTTCATGTTTTCAAGGTAAGCGGAAGGAATTTCCTCGATACGGTGGCTTTGGTGAGACGCTATGACACATTTCATACAAATTATGACATCGCATTGTTGGCAGCAAGCCTCACATTTCTGGCCTGGGTGTATTTCACATTGCTGGCTAATCACTTTCACATTTCTTTTTGTAAAGGGAACAATATCATGCGTAAGTAGTTTTTCTGCATTGACATGTTCATTTATGCAGTTTCCACAGAGTTTAAGGCCTAAATTAAAATTTTGTTTGTTTGCCATTTTCCGACCCAGATTATTAGCAATGGGTAGGTAGGTAGGAAAAATATTTTAATTTTTTTTCTTCTTGATTACTATTAAAATTTTAGAAAATCAATACTGTCGTGTTCATATTCGTTGTTATTGGAGCTTTTGCTTCATGGAACAAAATGTACTAGTTCTAGTACTTAAACAAATCTGGAATACTATAAGCTAAATATCTATCTTTGTATGTCAATACAAAAATGTTTATCGATTTTTCTTTAAAAAAATGGAAAATAATATTTTGTTTACTTTAAACAATATAAGGAAACAGTGGAAATTTATTATTTTAAAAATTCCATTCAATGGGTATATTACTGATATTAGTCCCACCTTCCATTTAATGTATTTATTAATGGTATTACAAGTTTTCAAAGTTATTTAAAAGTAAGACTTGTATTTCTTATTTTAATTACGTTTCCACATTGTCTAGACGAAAAAATATTTTCTTTAGTATAGTAAAACCTTGCAATATTGTCCATTTCCTGTTATTAGTCTTACCCCAAATTTAATCATGGCGGTCAAAATATTTACTAGGCTGAAAGCATGACGATGTTTTCAACATTTATAACTACTTTTGTGCTCTTTTCACTTAGATTTGGTAATAAAATGAAAGTATGACAATTGTATTTTTTGTCTGATATGCCGGCGATATTTATGTTGAAATCGATTAGTAGCATCGAAGAGCTCCCAACGACCGACAATCATCTTAACTTTATGAACGTGGTATTCAGCGCATTCATCAACAAGATCAAATATATCACTGTGAATGTTATTTCTTACCGCCATTTCATTTAGTTCCTAATCTCAATCATCAAAAGGCGACTGAGGAAAAGGAAAATTAACGTGTTTTAATGACCTGAATACATGTTTTATGTAACCAAGAAAAACGGACAAGATTTGAAGAAACAAATCAAATAAAAAAAATTTATATTTGAAAAGTAGAATAAAATATTTTGAGTCGGGCTAATTTTCGTGGGTCGGTCGGCTTAGGGCAAACAAACAAAATTTTAATTTAGGCCTAACCTGACAGCTATTACAAAATTGGTATGTTGCTTCTTCGTGACATATATCACAAATGCATGATTACTTCTTGTGCCCAGGTTATGGGTGCGGCCATTTTTCTTTTTAGCATATAAGATTTGCTTGATTACCTTAAAGAAAAAAGATTATTGAATATATTTTTTTCAGACTGTAGTTTATTAAAGTAGTTTACATTTAGTTAGTACATAAAAAAAAATTACAAATTCATTTATTGTTATTAAGTACGTACCTTCGAAACTATGTTACATCAAATATTTCCCAATATGGCAATTGATAAATATTATTCAGTTTAGATGTTGCTTTCGATTTGAAAATATTTATCTCGTTTCACTTCCTTTTAAGAAGAAGTGGATATTTCCTGATTTTGATTGTCCATTTCATTAATGGAGAAAACATATGATTAAGCACGAGTTTATCAAGATTTGTATTCAATGATAAATTACCTACTATTACGGAACAATGCTACTTCTGCTATCAAATGCATTCAAATACTAAATCAGTATGCTAGCAATAAATTATCAACACCCATAGACCCACCCTATGCACAGGCCAAGGGGGCCATAGTTGTAAAACTAGAGGTACTGTGAATACTGAGACCACTAAATGTACTCTCCACCTTCCATATTATGATAATGGCAAAGTCCATGTTTTGCTCTGGGAGACTCAAAGTATGTGTCAGATCAAAAGTAAAATAAGAGGTGCACAATGACATTATGTAATAATGAATCTGTGAGGTTAGTATTAATTTTCATACATTGGTATAGGAGGAGTTGCGCGTAAGAGATGGGTATCCTTCAATATTATAGAAAAAAAGGCGGTGTCTATGTTTTTCAATTGAAAACCCAAAACGTGTGTCGGATCAAAGAGTAAAATAGCAGGTGCATAATGAAACTGTCCAATAAAGTATCTATGAAAGTGTTAAATTTCATTCAGTGGTATAATAAGAGATGTATACCCCCAAAGCTTAACAATCGGACGGACATACAGACGGAGGAGCATATATTCCCTCCCACTACTTTTCAAACTTGAATACACACGTACATGTACTTTACTTAACAATATTTCCAAACAATTATGACTTTACAAAATTTGCAGTTCTTGAAAGATTTTTAAACCAGATTTTCCAATATAAAACTTTGATCGACCATTATATGTTCCATCCTAGCCCTTTGATTGAATCGACTTTTCCTGAAAATGCTTCCATATAAATGTTACTTATCATGATTTTGCTGTTTTTGACGAGAAGATTTTTAAAGATTTTTTTTAACGATAAATATTGTCAGTTAAAACTTTGATCGCAAATAGTAATCACTAGTGGTATTGTTAGCTATGAGCTCCCTAACTGATACCCTCCGCCTCCAATATGATTTTTAATGGCAAAGTCTATGTTTTGCACTGGGATAAGTGTCAGATCTAAAAGTAAAATAAAAGGTGCACAAAAGGATTATGTAATAAAAAAATCTCTGAAATATCATTGACTTTTATTCAGTGGTATAGGAATTGCGGATAAGAGATTGCTATCCTTCAATACCGGGGTATTATAGAAAGAAAGGTACATGTAGTGTCCATGTTTTTCTATGGGAAACCCGAAATATGTGTCGTATCAAAAAGTAAAATAGGATGTCACCATGGCACAATATGTGAGAAAGATTCTGTATAAGTTTCATTAAATTTCATTCAGTGGTATAAGAGGAGTTGCGGATAGGAGATGGGTACCCCAAAGCGTAACAGACGTACAGACTTACGGACATCCCGATCACTAAATACCCTCTTTCAATAATCTTTAGAATATATTTTTGCCAATTAGAAGCAGAGCAATAAGCACGGACCTCTAAAATATCAAGGTGGATCAGATGCCATTGAGTAGTGAGTATCTCCTGCCAATCAGATACAAATGCCGTGTGCTCCTCGTCATGATTTGGAAATAGCGGGGAAAATCCGTCGACAATTCAGTGCGTAAATAATAGGCTTATAATTTTAGTATAAAAAAAACGTCAGATAGCATTTGACTTTAAATTAATGGTGGATTAAATATTGTGTTTGCTGCCAAAATCATAATTTAGACCATAAAACTTACAAAATGATTACTTTCAACGAGACTGTTGATAATCTTGTTTTATTAACTTGTTTGCCAATAACTTACTTAAAAATTGTTCATACTCAAGCATGCTCTTGCGTATCGAATCAAGTGTGAGAGAAACAGATGAACATTTTTTTGTCATTTCAGGCATATGGTTACTGTTATATACATATGGGCATATTTTATGAAACATGGTACACTGCAAGTAGTTATTAATTATAGGTATTGTGAGCAATGAGCTCACAATTTAAAATTATCCCCCCTCCCCACTCCTATATGGTTATATTGGCAAAGTTCATGTTTTGCTGTGGGAGACCCGAAATAAGTGTCAGACCAAAAAGTAAAATAGATTTATCCTTATGTATTTAGGAATAATGGATCTGTAAATGTATCATTAAATTTTATTCAGTGGTATAGGTGGAGTTACATGCACATGTAAGAGATGGGTATCCCAAAGCGTAACAGAAGCACGCACGAACGGACGTACATCATATCCACGTAGATAACTATAATACTCTCCCACTTTTCAAGCGGGGCCGGGGGTATAAAAAGTAAAAAGAAACTATTGTGACGTCAATCTATGCCATGTGTATGGTCATTATGACGTCATAATTATTTGACATCACAATATTAATCACTGCAGAAGCGTTGTTGATATACGTTGCAGAAAAAGAACACTTCTTCAAAGCTGTTTTGCTAAAAATAACAAAGTGGGCGTTATGAAAGAAGAGATGGAAGCGTACGAAAAAGTATGGAAAACGATGGTTACAGAGGAAGTGACAAAGAAGAGAGGCGGCGTGGCCTTTGATCTTACCTTTGTCTCCGAGGAAACCCCAAAGATGCCTCCACCCAGGTTAATAGAGAATAAAAAGGAGGGGGATTTTGAGAAATGGAGAGGTAGGAATTCCATCCATTCATGCAAAAATTTAAACAATGTTCTTTGATAGACAAGTAAAGATTCGATTTCAATGGTATGACTATCTTGTCTTCCAATTTTACTGCAAGTCAGAATGTTTTGCAGACGTAATGGCTAACAACATGAACAATTGTTACAATGAGATTCAGTGAGATAAATGACCGAAATTGATTGAGCTATATATTATTTTGATGTTTCTGTTTTACAGAGTCTCAGGAGAAATCACAGGTTCAAAAACAGGAGCGGGCTCAGCAGAACAGAGAGGAAGCCCGTATCCAGAAAGAGATCGAGGTCGCCCACAAGGAGATGGAGAGGCTCAAGAAATATGTCAACCTTATTACTGTCGAATAAAATTGATCTGAACTCTTAATATTTGTTATACATTGTATATATGGACAACTTAGTTTGAATTTATTTTTTGAAATCAAGTACTAGTGAATGGAACCAAGGAGGGGAGACATTTATTATCTTTGCAGTGTATATAATCGATGTTTTGGCTTTTAGTTAACTTTTTCTTCATTTGGCCTTTTTTCTTTCATTCTTTTTTCGGGGGGGGGGGGGGTTCAGGCTGTGGGCCGTGAAGACAGACATTGAGGCTCGTATTACTGACAAAATTTATACATGTATATCATTATTTCAAATCTGTCGTGTGACTGTCTGTGTGACCTTTCGGCCCTGAAAATAACGCAGGAATGGGTATATTTAGGAACCATCGTCCCATCTATGATAAGAGATGCGGGTTCCTTGCCAAAATAAAAAAAAAAAATGATACATCGGATGATTAGTTGTGAGATCACCGTTATATACCCACTTTTTCAGTATAAGATTTTTTTTTATATAATTTATGAAAAGAAAGGTTAAAAAACGTCAAGTGTTTGTGTACTGAAGTCTTAATTACATGTATCTGTTTAATGAACCTGAGAATCGGACGTATAGTTGTTTTGTTCTACACGGACTTTAATTTTAAGAATTTTCTCTCCCCCGTCCCTTTTTTTTGAGTACTGCCAAATGTAACATATACATGTAGGACTGAGTTACGGTCAATTTTTTTTCCAAATAATATTTTTTTACCCATGTACATGTACAAAGTTTGTGTTATAGGCCTATATAGATCCTTTCCATGGTCCAATAAATTAATAACACATAATATGCCTGAGATAGGAGTCGACAATTTTGTTCAAGCTTCATTCACTTCGAAAGTAAAACTGCATGTTGCCCTCGAACTTAGTCAATAAGTCAATAAGTGTAAATCATTTCCTTTTTTTCCAATAAAATTACATTATTCCACATCGATCAAGTATATATTGACCTGGTAATATTATATAGCATTATGATTTGCCTTTTACCATGCTATTACACATTCACTGATAGAATTGCCGACTCACGACTATGTATGTTAATTAGATCGGGCTCAGAACAGTTGCTATCTGCACGGGATCGAAGTCCAATCACATCGTATGATTTTTACAGCTGACAGCCAGTCGAGAAGAGGACTACATGCTGTGCAGGTAATTTTGTAAAATATGCGAATTTGCATCAGCAAGCATTGTCATTCTGTTGTCTGCATTAATGCTGATCTTTCAAATCAAATAGACGAGATATTTTTTACAGCAAAGGACCACGGTGTTAGGATATAAACAAACAGTGTCTATGCTACTCTGAAACTGGGTTGTTTGTGAACCACTTTTTAGAAGAAAGTTATATGCTATATAGAGCGTTAAATTATGCAGGATTTGAGTCAAAAGAAGTATAATTTAAAAGTTTTTAAAAAGTGATGTAATACAATAATGTTTTGGTGAACCTGGCTTTGGCACAATATAGCCTATAGGCAATATGAGTATTATCTAATCCTTTATCCTTATTCTGGAGTAATAAAAGTGATGAAGTTCGTAAACAGTTTAAAATATGCAAAATCATGTGTATAAAGTGTTATGTTTTGTTTAAATGTTTTCTATTTCAGTTCTAAAGAAATTTATTATATATATAAAAATTTGATTAGAACAAACAGATCACCAACACTTCGTAAGAATGCACATGAAAATTTATTTGATTGACCGGTTTCGACCAGAGACGGTCGTCATCAGAACAATTATACAAAAATATTCTTTGCTGAAGTCAAAAATGCGGATGACGTTACTTTAAACTATTAGAAATGCGGAAGAATTATACAGTATGCGGATGACGTTGCTATGAAAATGCGGAAGATTTGTCCAGTATGCGGATTAGATTTACATTATTATATAACTTCTTTAACACTTTGACATCATCAAATAAAAACTTAAGTATGATTTACAATGTAATGCATGGAATATTTTTTAAGGTAATTAATTAAATAGTCCATAAATTCCGTGAACTGTGTTCGATCTGTTCTGTAATCCTGGTGGAAGTTCATCTTGACATACGGTTTCTGTGGATGTTGATTGCGTGGGTTCGTATAGTTTGTTGGCTGGTAAAATTCTGAAGATTGGATTTTTCATGGATCTTGGTCGGCTTTCAAACGGGCGTTTCCATTCTTTAGGTTTTTCAGCCATTTCTCTAGGATTGGTGCAGGTGAATATTAAAGTTTCTTTAAATTCCGTATCTGGGTGCTCTTTAGCGATATGGCATTGAACAACATCTTTACGACAGCAAGATTTTTTACAAATATCACAGTAGTATCTAGTTACAGTTGGATTATGTTGAAGTTCATTATGCCTCTTTAGATTGCTGGCTTGTTTGAATTTATGGTTGCATGTAGTACACTGGAAGTCCGTTTTGTTTGTTTCCGATTTCTCTGGATTATCCATCTGTTTTCTCTTGGTATATTTAACCTTAACCATATTTTTGATTCAATCCTTGTGGATGTAGAGTTCCAAAAATTCCAGGGGGGTCCTGACCCCTCCCCCCCCCTCCCCCCCTCTAGATCCGCGCATGTGTATTGTATCCGAGGGATTGTTTAATTATTTTTTTTCCGTTACGAAGGATTTCATCGGTCGACTCAATTTTTTTTTTGTACGTCTCGGGTCACTGTCAGGTGAATTGGCTCGCAGTCTCTACATGTATTTGCGCGGATGTTAATGTACTTCGGGTGTGTGTGTGTGGGGGGGGGGGGTGTCTCCAAACTCGAAAGCTCATGATTTATTAAAGGTAGGTAGCTGAGATACAACCAGTCAAAATCAGACTATTAGACTTTTCATTTGCCATTTTCCAGCGCTACCTTTTAAGGTAAATGTCTGTCATCCAGCGCTACCTTTTAAGGTAAATGTCTGTCCTCTAATATGATCGCAAATTTCAAGAGAACCGGAACATGTTACTCATTTTTAACACGATACAGGCTAAATCTTAACCAATAAAATGCTTCGCATGTAAAATCAATCACATGTAAAAAATGTTTTATTCAATACATTGGCCAAACAGGAAACTCCCTAAGAGAAAGGATGTATGGACATTTCGCCGATATGAAAGTCGCCAATCAACATAAACCTGTGTCTCAACACTTTACGTCACAAACTATTACGTCACAATCAGACACGTCACAATCACACACTCCACATGATGTTTCCATCACGCCGCTCGTGAAAATCAAAAACAATATAAACCAACGTCTACGAACGGAGGAAGGCTTCATACATATATTTAAAACTCTACATCCACAAGGATTAAATCAAAAATATGGTTAAGGTTAAATATACCAAGAGAAAACAGATGGATAATCCAGAGAAATTGGAAACAAACAAAACGGACTTCCAGTGTACTACATGCAACCGTAAATTCAAACAAGCCAGCAATCTAAAGAGGCATAATGAACTTCAACATAATCCAACTGTAACTAGATACTACTGTGATATTTGTAAAAAATCTTGCTGTCGTAAAGATGTTGTTCAATGCCATATCGCTAAAGAGCACCCAGATACGGAATTTAAAGAAACTTTAATATTCACCTGCACCAATCCTAGAGAAATGGCTGAAAAACCTAAAGAATGGAAACGCCCGTTTGAAAGCCGACCAAGATCCATGAAAAATCCAATCTTCAGAATTTTACCAGCCAACAAACTATACGAACCCACGCAATCAACATCCACAGAAACCGTATGTCAAGATGAACTTCCACCAGGATTACAGAACAGATCGATCACAGTTCACGGAATTTATGGACTATTTAATTAATTACCTTAAAAAATATTCCATGCATTACATTGTAAATCATACTTAAGTTTTTATTTGACGATGTCAAAGTGTTAAAGAATTTATATAATAATGTAAATCTAATCCGCATACTGGACAAATCTTCCGCATTTTCATAGCAACGTCATCCGCATACTGTATAACTCTTCCGCATTTCTAATTGTTTATAGTAACGTCATCCGCATTTTTGACTTCAGCAAAGAATATTTTTGTATAATTGTTCTGATGACGACCGTCTCTGGTCGAAACCGGTCAACCAATAAATTTTCATGTGCATTCTTACGAAGTGTTGGTGATCTGTTTGTTCTAATTAAGTTTACTACTTTTGATCCAGACCCTATTGAATACCACGTGGTATCCACTCATAAGAATCTTCCGCAATTTGAACCTCAAGGTGTTGGTCTCCAGCTTTAATTTTGTTTTATATATAAAAATATACAAAAATTCTTGTGTATGTGAACAATAATCATGATAATAATCATGATAATCATAATACGTACGAGGGTTGTCCGGTAAAATCGTGGACAAGTTGTCTAGCGTGAAAACTAATCATCATTGTAATCTAAAATTTTCACTTCGCTTTAGTACATCTTTCATCAATATACATAGCAAATTTCAAAGATATACATGCATAAATAAATTAATTATGAGATTTTATGTTATGTATGGTGTTGCCCTACAGCGCACGGATGATAACGTCAACATGTCTAAAACAGCGTCACGTTTCCTCTTTGCTAACAATGGTTGAATAAGGAACTTTTAATTTCATGAATGCACATACCTGAGTTACCTTTTATTCCTCCATAAACAGTCGAGGGACCAATATCTCACAGACATGGGATTTTCTGAAGATTTATTTGAAAGTTATGGACAGTATTCTCACTATCAGTCAACTAAATAGGCAATCATATCTAAGGTCTAGGTGACGGCGTTTTTTGCTATTACCATAGCTGTTTGTTCGTATGTTTTGTTCTGGATTTCGCTCAGGAAACCCTTATTTCACTTGTGTACTAAACATCTGGTAATATTTTTCATTTTTTTTTTCTTCTCTATTTATTTAAAGTATATTAGAGCATTATATTTCTATAAATGAACTGTTCTCTGGTGCACCGTAACGTCATCAAACGTCGCCATTTATCATGTGTTGTGATTGCCACATACCGAATTAGAATGCTCGGGAAACTGCCAAAAATAAAGC